AAGTAAAGTAGTAAAATTAGTTTATATATATAAGCTTAATAAATACTATAGAATTAGAAAAACTATATAATAAATTATATAATACTTTAAATTTAAAGGTATTAAAAAGTAAGTATAAAAGGTTATATTAGAATATATAATATATAAATAAGCTAAGGTATTATACTATTTTCTTTATAGAAAACTATAACCTTTATTAGTTTTAGTTAGAAATTAGGAATTAATAATATTTAACTATATTATAAAGCTTCTACCTTTAAAAGAACCTATAACTAATAATACTTAAAATAGTATCTTTATAATAGTTAATTAACTTTTAAAAATAATTTACTTTATCTTAGTAATAGAAAAAAGCTTTATAAAAGATTTAGCTTATATATTTTTCTAATATATTTACGTAAACTATAGACTACTAAATAAGATTATCTTTAATAAAGGATTAACGTTTATATTAAAATTTTAGTAATTACTTATAGTATAAATTAGATTAAAATATAAAGCTAGTATAGTTTACTACCTATAAATAAATAAATAAATAAAATAAATTAATTAAATTATTAAAATATACTTATAATACTACGTTAACTTTAATTAAGATAATTAAGTAAAATACTTACTAACTACCTAAGTATTTTATAATAGTATACTAGTAGAATTTATAAACTACTTACTATTTTACGTAAATTATAGGTTTAAACTAAATCTATATTAGCTACCTATTAAAAGAGAAAATACTAATAAAACTATTATTATAGCTAATAAACTTAAAAAACTATATTAAGAATTATAAGTATAACTTAAATTTATTAAATAATAAATAGCTAAATTTACAAATATAAAAAAGATTAAAGAATTAACCTTTAAGGAGGGAGATATAGTCTACCTACTTTAATACTTATAAAATAATAAGTAGTTAAATATTAAGATAAATAAGCTAAGTAATAAACTTAATTTTAAGAAACTTAAACTTTATAAAGTTATAAAGAAAATTAGACCTGTTAATTACAAAATAGATTTTCTACTTACCTTAGGGAAATAAGGAAGAACTATATATTTAAATTTTTATATTTTATTATTAGAAAAAGTATTAATAAATAAAAAAATAAGTAAAGTTATATAGGATAAAATTATTATTTAAGGTAAAGAACTTAAATATAAAGTTAAAAAGCTTAAAATAATAGGATTTAATAAAAATACTTAATAAACTAAATACTTAGTAAAATAAAAAGGCTATAATAAAATAGAAAAATTATAGTAAATTATTAAGGACCTTAAGTATTTAAAAAACTTTATAAATAACTTCTACTAAAGTCTAAGTTTAGTAAAAAAGGGTTAAAAGTATTTTAATTAATAGCGTTAACTATAGAACCTATAGTTATAGAATTAGTTAGATTAAGTAATAATATTACAGCCTAATAAGCGGCCTCTACTTCCTTATGCTTAACCTTATCTAACTTATTTAAATTAGTAATATCCTACGTAATAATATAATATATTTACTTATACTAAATCTTCTTTTGTTTTTATAATTAAGAAACCTTTATAGTTAGTTTAGCTAAAGTATTTTTAGTAAATTTAAGTTTATTTTTTAATTAGAAATATTAAGTAAATACCTAATTTAATTAATTAGTAGTTAAACCCCTTACATTATAGTATAATTTATTAAGTTATATATAATTTAAGTATTATAAAGAATTATTTAAAAATAGTAAATACTTATTAAACTTTTTTAAAATATAAAAAGAATAATACTTATTTATTTTTTTAGTACTTTTTAAAATAAACTTAAAAAAACTCTTCTACTTCTGTATTTTTAAATAAAGACTTTTAGTAATATAATTTATTATAGTTAAATAAGTTAGCTAAATAGAAATAATAAAAATAAGATAAAGAGTATTTACTTATAAATATATAAGGAATATACTACTTATAATAAAGTCTTAAGGATAAGACTAATAAAAGAGGGATATTATATTATAACCTAGCTTTTATAGTTATAATAATAGGCCTATAAAGTAGTTGGTTTTAAATAAACAATAGACTAATTAATTAATTAGAAATAGATTATTAAATTATTATAATAATTTAATAATTTATTAACGGATTATTAAAACTTTAAAATAATTTATAATAGGATTATCTATACTTATTAATAATCCAGCCTAGCTAACTAAGTATATAAGTTTACTTTATATCACTTATTAAAAATACTTAAATAGCTAATTATTATTACAGCGTTTATAATATAATTAAATTAAAATATAGATATCTACTCTTATTTATATTACTAGCTGGTAATAAGATTACCTATTACCGACTTAATCGCTCCGCTAATATAAACCATAGAACCACTCTAAGGTTTGTCCCTTAGAAACAGCTAACCTATAGTGCCTATAGGACCCGGTTCGTTACACTTTATATTAGCGGTAATATTAAAAAAAAAGGACGATAATAATAACTTTTATTAACGTTTAGTATAGTAGATATTAAGTTAAGTACAGTAGGATAGTACTATGTAATAGCTGCTAGTTATTAGCCTATATAAAGTACAGGAGCTTAAGCTACTAATAGCTAAGTTGGAGTATATTTATTTACATCTTTATTTACTACTATTAAGCCCAGTATATACTTTACTAAAAAGCCTAAAGCTATATATAATCCCTGCTCTTCCTAAAAATTAGTATCTTCCCTCTCGCTTACAAATTTTACTTAATCTCTTCGGTGGTCAATTATATATCAACTCGAAAGATAATTACTATAAAGTATGTAAGCTACTAAACTTATCATATAGTCCTACTAGAGGCGGTGTTACCGTGGAGCTAGATGGATTCATTGTTTAGTCTGGCGATACACTTACCAAGTTCAAGAAGAGCCCAATTATGTTTCTGAAAAGCTTACTGGCGATACGGTGGAACTCGGAAGTAAATGATAAGACTCACTGGGGAACTATCCTGAGAGGAGATTTGCTAGACTTCTAACAACCGGCTTATAACATTATTGGAGGCTAGTGTGGGGAACAATAGCCTGCAAGTAAAACTTCTCAAACTTCTAGTAGCTTCCTTCTCGGCATTGGCAAAATCAGAATCATGAATCAAGGCGGACGGTTAGTTGCAAGTGTAGTTTTGCCACACCCAAAACAGCTCGGGTTCCATTTTCGAGGTCATAGATCGCTTGTGAGAAGGGAACCACGCCATTTGCGGCGGCAGCGGTTCAATCCGGTTACACCGAGCGGATATGCAGGGGCAGTTGAAGCAACTGGCGGGGCATGCGACGGCATTCTGCGGATCACAGAAGCGGGTGATCGAGGTCGTGGTGCACGGAGATTGGCTGATCGTACAGGTAGCGCTGACGGGAGATGGAAGGAGTTTGACGTTTATGCTGCCGGCATTTTGCACGCCAGACGGGATGACAAGTGTGGTAACGTCGTTTGGCGTTGGAGAGCGACGTGGAGGCGCGGGGCACAAAGATGGGCATCGATGCGTATACATGGAAAAGCTGAAGGGCGCAGCGAGGGGCATCGTTGATGTTCGTGACGCCGAAGAAGGCAACAATAAAGGGATTTCAGGCGTCTTGGAGCGGATGCATGGGCCAGTTTGCCGCACAAAGTAGAGGTTTCTCCCGGTTTAGATGGGCTACTCAGCGTCTTAGTAACCTCTCTTAATCGTGTTGTTGCTGAAGAAAGGGCGTCGCTTAGTGAAGGTAGACTCAATGTGTTCGACAGCATCGGCTCAACTCCTTCATAGCCGGGCGCTCATCACGGAAACATCTATTAAATACAGCAAGGCAGCCAAGGACAGTACAACAAGCTGAAGCTGGTAATCTGGCATTTGGATGAACTATACACTGCCCTGCTTATACGGCCTACTTCCACGTATACAGACGAGAGCTGCGCTGATCCTCATCAGCCCCTCGCATATACCAATTGAGAGGATGAAGCACAGTACTAATTACTCCTGGCGAACGCTAAAGGTCACCAGAAACAAATTACCGAGACATTTTGTTTTCTTCATTTGGAGTCACGATTCAAAAGTATTAGACTGTACGGAGTACTCCGGACGGGTTTAGGCCAAGCAATCATTCAGGCAGTTGCCAGTGATGGCTTGAGAATGTGATATTTTTCGAGCTTTTAATATATTTTTGAAGCATGAATTAGCATTAACATACAAGTATCATGTAGCATACATCTTGTGAATATTCTTCAACAACTATTTTCTCTCCGTAGCAATCTCTAATCATAGTTCTCCCTCGAATTGACGTACCACGAAACCATTCTCCTGTAAGAAATCCTTGACCTGTTTTACAGTGTCCTATCTGGCCTGACAATGATGAAGGCCTCGGCTACGGAAAGTTGCGATTCTCGATGGCAGGCCCAAGGGATCTAGTTGCCACTGAGATGCGGGCGGCGCAATGCCAATTAGAAGAGCTTCTCCTCATGCCACTCGATGCAGAAAGAGCTGTATTATAGTAGAAGTTGAAAAAAAGAATAAGATATCATGAATGGAGTAGTGGCTAACTATTTACCAGAGCAAGTCTAGCCAACTCATCCGCCATTTTGTTGCAGTCTCTTGGTACATGCCAGAAAAGAACCTCCACTCCAAGCCCATTCAACTGGGCCACCAGTCTCTCAAGTTTCCGGAAAAGCTCCCCATTTATAACCTTTGTTCCCCTCGACGTCATGTAGCCATTGTTTTTCCACTTGAATACCCGTTCAGTCATACCTTTGACCAAGTACTCTGAGTCCGCCTTGATTACCACCTGCTGCAGCTTCAGCCCCCCTACCCCTTATTTCGAATACTGATGGCCTGTTCAAGGCCAAGGATTCCGGCTCTTAACTCTGCAATCTGGTTCGTTGCTTTCGAATCTGTCAAAACAAAGCTCATGTTGTGCTCGGACTGCTTGGCAACAAAAACTCCAACGGCTGCCCTGGCGTCGGCAGTGCCATTCCGTCTACAAGCGCCGTCCACTGCAATAACTATGCAATCGAGATGTGGCGGAGGTATGCCACAGCATGTACAAGGTTCGGCATATTCACATGCTATATAGGTCCAATAGGTAAAAGAATTATCATGGTCGTGAATTTCTACCCTGTTTAGGTTTATGTTTGCGGCGTAGCGTTGGCTAGGCATGAATTTCCGATCTTTCGCCCAATCACGAGATTCGGATATACAGTGTGAGTTGATAACATCCATGAAGACTAAGCGATAGTGAGTTTGAGAAGTATGAACGGTAAAAATGAACAGTTGTATGGCAAGGTGTGACTGAGGGAATTTATCAACTAGACTTAAGGGAAAGTGTAGAATCTGATTATAACTGCTGGCGGCGGGAATAGGCATGGTTCGCTTAATGATGAAGCTGGGAATGGCGGTGCGGGGTTATTAGGGCAGGACCAATGGGTGATTTAAGAAACAACGCATGCCTTATGGCCAGATGTATCGTAGCAATGACTGGGATCGCAATACCAACATTACAATCGTAATCCAAAATGCTATCTTTCACATGTCTGCATATCTACTTGAAGAGCAAGCTACCTCTTCTCTCAATTAAGACATACAAGACCAATGAAAGTGTTACAATACGTCTGGACCTAACGTGGATGATACAAAATCTGATAGGCCACCTGAAAGCCAGGCTGTGCCGACTTACGATATTATGTGTGGGAGAGCACCAGTGACAAGCGAGGATGTCAGGTGGGAGATATGGCAAAAAAAAAAAAAAAGATGATAAGTGATATATATTTACCAATAGGCTGTAAATTTGTTTAATAAAGACGTCGCTGAGTTACATGGTAGAATATAAGGAGGTGCACAACTGGATTCCATATACTTCATATCCACAAAGCACACTGCGTATGGCCACAGCCGGCTTTTTCATCTGTAGCTGAGTGTGGAAATGACTTCAACTGGCGCCAACTAATATATGAGTAATTGGTGCCCAAGGCAACCCCCAATCCCACATTCCTGCCAGAGGTTCGTGTTATGTTCAGAGAGTAAGAGTCATAAAATACGCTGACGTCCCAGGTTCAGCGCAGCGCAGCGCAACAGATACCTACCCAACCGCTCGGCTGGTGAACGCAATGGAAATTGCGATTAAGTCGAAGACCTTATCGACGGAAGGCTCAGCTGAGTCAACTATTGAGTTCGTGAGTCACATCGACAAGTTACCAATCCCCGAAAAAGGTGACTCGATCGATGTTCTCCAACGGAAGTTGACCGCGCTGGCCGACGCTATGCGCCGTGGGCAGAGTATCGGCTGCTACAATCAAGGAACGCGATCCTAAATTGCGACTGCCGATATGTCTCCGCAGGAAGTTGAGGCCTGGAGCCTATACATTGATGAGAATTACCGTCTTCTGAAAATCAAGTGGAACGACAGTCACGACCCTATACCAAAGTCAAAAAGGCCTCTTCGTACAGCTTATCGTCGCGCAGAAGCGCTTAATATATAGATTGACAATGCGAAACCATGCCATGCAGTATGGTTTGCGAGGAACGAAGCTGTTCATCTTCCTCTTGCCAAGGCCATGGCACGCGTCATTGGAGCGGAAAAAAACCCAAGTGGACAAGACGTGTTAGACGCTACCCAGATAGCCGACCTGCAATCGATCAGTGTGATTTTGGCCCTCTCTGCCCAAATTATGGACAAGTCAAGACGCAGGACGAAATCACAAGAAATTGCATCCGCACAACAAGTTCTGGGCTTCCATCGCGATATGCTGCGAGGTATAAGAAGGAATACCAGAAAACGGAAACGAGGTTCAGAAGGCCTATTTGCCTGATGAAGCTAGGGTCAGATCGTTGAAGAGCATCAAATTAGAATTTCACCAATTACCGCTAATGCTTCAATACCAGAGGATCATGAGATGATTGGACCCTATGTTCTGCTCCTGGCAGGTCCATGGCCCTCTTCTTAAGTGATTGTATGTCAAGGCTGTGTTGCAGGCAGGCGTGTTACATCAATACGCATAGAGAAAGACTAAGGTCTGCATAAGTGATAAGATGAGAGTTCCTCCAGGTGTAACAGTTTGAACGCAAGCATTAGGCGAGCCGGAGAGCAAAGATCGCGTGTGGTAATAGCCATCCTCCCTTCATACCCGTATGCGATTGAGAAAATTGGTAGCTTTTAGGAGGCGCCGAGGCGACCCCTATCAGGAGCGGACCCCGCATTGCTGCCTAATTTAAAAGAGAAGGTAATAAGTTAAAGTACTGTACAGTATTACAGTAGATAATCTATAGCTAATACTTATCTTAAGGTATATATTAAAGTATCAATACATACGTAAATGTGTACAGTACATATAAAAATTTATACAGACTTGAATAATTTTTTCAAACTACTACAGGTTTTACGCTAGTTTTAGTCTATCAAGTAATTTTTTAGCAACTAATAGTTGTTCGGTTACTAAGCATTTAGTAACTTAATTAGTCACTAACTTGCAACCCCTGTACAGTATTTATACTGCTCACGACTACTTTTTCCATGATCATTGCTCCACTTCCTCCGCCTAAGAAAAAGATGCCAAACTAAGGTGAGCACAACGTTTGAACATCGAGGCTGCGGCCGAAGCCCCACTAAGAATGTGCTATTCTGGGTGATGTTTGAAAAGCCTACTAACGTCGGGTGGCTGCAGATCTAGAGATAGGAAGTCCAGCGGCCGATCAGTTATCCTCCTATGGCGTTCCGACGACTACCCACAGCATCTTGTATCCTAGAAGTAGAGAGGAAGTTCCGAACCTTGAACGTTCGCGAGCTTACTCAGCACGGCGGAATTCCTTACTTTAGAAGCTTACAGAAGCTTCCTGTCGAAACTATACGCGACTCATATTACGACAAATCGAATATGCTTTCGTCAGCTGGCGTCTGGGTCAGAAAGCGAAATGGAGAGTGGCAAGCAAAAATAAAGAAAGGCGGTAATTTCACGAACTCGAAATTTCAAGAGCTCAGTCATGTGGACGAAATCGAAGCCCTTGTGAAGAGGGTTATTGGTATTGGAGGAGCAACCTGTAGCTTTGGCCTTCAACCTGTAGCGACCTTCTGCACCACACGAGAATCGTGGATTGCTGATGGCGAGTTCCGAATCGTGCTCGACACGATGGACTTTCATCACCAAGTTGGCGAAGTCGAATTGCAGAAAGTTCTAGTTAGCAACAACGGAGACGACACGCCGAATGAGCTACAGAAGCAAAGAGAAATGCAACTGATGGACGAGAAACTTGTTACATTCATGCAAACGTATGCATGGGCATTTTCCGTGGGCGAGCCAAAGGGCAAACTAACTGCGTACTTCGAGCTGCTGCGATCTCAGGATGATTAAGATTTGTATGAGCGTCGAGACCAAACTCTGTCAGGGCCAGGAAGATCAGCACATAATAAAATAGGCAGTACATAGACATCAGGAATGCCCAAGAACTTAAGGACCTGCCACTCTAGAGTGAAAGGGGTAATTGCTAATAGTTCATTACTGCAATAGCCCAAGCAAACCCCCTGATCCCGGCGTAACGGTGGAATTTGACGCCTCGACGACGGTTCTCCATTCATCTCTAGTCTGCAGTATATCCAGCAGCTTCTTATAAGAGGTATTAGTATCACCACTAGTATCAGTCTATTTCAGTGTTAGTCGACGTGATATGAATCTGACATGAAAAACTAGGTTTAATGCTTGCCGTAATGAGTCTCCTGCTTTCGTTATAATAATGAAGCAGGGGCGGGTTCAGCACTGAAAATTCGGCATATCTCTCCCGGAATGTCTCCCGGTTGTCTCCGTCTCGACCTTCTCTCCTGCAGATAACTCGTTCTTCAGCTAGCTCTTTAGGGCAGCTGAAGAACAAAGTCAGCAGTGGGCGCTGGAACTGAAAATAATTAGCATTAAAATAGTACCCCGCAACCATCAGTCAACTCTATGATACATACAATTGTCTCGAATTCCTTTGCTTGATCCAGTCTTCGAGGGAAACCGTCTAGCACAATATTATATCCTCTCTTCAAAATCCCGAGATGAGGTTCTAGAATTCGGAACAGCAGTTCCTTAGTCAAGAGCTCTCCACGTTGTACGAATTCGATGACAGTCTTATCTGCGTTGGATGATGAGACGACTTGCCGGAGGAGATCTCCGATGGAAAGGTGCACGAAGCCATAATCTTTTGCAAGCCTCTTGCAAAGAGTTCCCTTGCCCGCACCAGGAGAGCCTAATGAATATCAGCTGGCAGTCTCGGGCAGAGTTAGACTTTTGGAACTACCAAGCACAAATATCAGTTCACCTCTCTGTGAATCCATGATGCATTCACTAAGTGTGATTTAATATTTTAATATAGTGAGATAGATACAATATTTTATTAAAAATGAGGTTTTTATCTTTAATTATAAAAAGGGTATTAATAACTACTAATTTATAATACCCTTTTACTATTTCTTAAAATATTAGTAAAGTAAGTTTTAGTATTAGTTTAAAATAATTTTCTTTATAGTTAAAAGTATTTACTTAACTATTTTCTAATCTTTTATAAAGTATAATCTTAAAGTTATACTTAATTATAAACTAAAAATACTTTTTTTATTATATAAAAATATTTTTTTTTATAATAAAATTTATAAAATCCTTATAATTAGAACATATAATAATCTTATACTTATTACTTAATAAATATAATTTTTATTTTTTAAATATTTTAAAAATAGCTATAAGTTTTTAGTTATATATAAAGTATTATAATTCTAAACTATAGAGTTTCTTAAAGAAAAAGGCTATAGGATATAATATTCCTTTATTATTTTATTAACTAAGAACTCCTTTAATTATATAGTTTAAGGTATTTATTTTAATAATAACTAGCTTCTTTAGGTTATATATTTATAATACTAGTACGCTAGTAATAGTTTTTTAAAGTACTTTAAAAGCTTCTAGGGCTTTTCCTATATATTTAATTAGTTAATTTTTTTTTTATTATTTAAATCTTTTTTAATAAAATCTATAAGTAGTATAGTAATTTTACTATAATTTTAAATAAATTATTAATAGTAATTAGCTAATCTAAGGAAGCTTTATACTTCCTTAATAGTTTTAAAAACCTTTTATTTTATAATAGCTATTACCTTAGTAAGGTTTATCTTAATTTATCTTAGTAAAATAATATATTTTAAAAAGTTAACTTCTTATATATAAAATTAATACTTCTTTAGTTTTACTAATAAGTTTACTACTTATAAAATTTCTAAGACTTAATATATATATTACTTATACTTTTCTAAGGTATTAAAGTAAATTAATATATTATTTAAGTATATAATAATAAACCTATTAATATATTCCTTAAGGATTTTATTAATTATTCTTTAAAATATAGCTAATGTATTAGTAAGTTTAAAGAGTATAATTAAATATTTAAATAATTTATAATATATTTTAAATACTATTTTTTATTTATCTTTTTTTTTAATTTAAATAAAATTATAAGCTTCTTTTAGGTTAAAAGCTGTAAACTATTTTATAGTAGCTAGCCTATTTTTAATTTTAAAAATTAATAGTAGTAGTATTTAATTTTTAATAATAATCTTATTAAGTTATTAATAGTTAATAACTAATTATAATTTCCTATTTTTCTTTAGTATAAATATTATAAAGTATCCTATTAATAAATTAAAAACTTAAATATATTCTTTTTCCAATTACTTATTTAACTATTCCCTTAAGGTTTTAAGTTCTTTTTTATTAAAGTTATAAATCTTATAGATCTTAGGTTATTTTTTATTTATTAACTTAATAAAGTAATTCTATTATAAATATAATAATAACCTAGTATTTAATATTACCTTATATAGTTTCTTATACTTTTTATATTAGTAAAGTATTTTAGCAAAAGTATTTTTAAATTCTCCTAATTCCTTTTTTTTTATACTTTACTTAGTACCTTATTAAGTACTATTAGCTTATCCTTAAATTATATTATAATTTTATTAATATAAATATATTTTATTTTTTTATATTATTCATTATATTATAGTAATATTAGTAATTTATTTTTTTTAAACTTAATTATTTTTATTTTCTTTATAGTTAATATAAAAGATTCTAATTCTTTTAGTAGTATAGCTTTACCCTTTTATTCTCTCTAGTATAATTAATATTTAAATATATCCTTAATATCTTAATAAACCTTCTTAGTCTTTTATTAAATAATAAGGTTATTATTAAATAACTAAGGATAGCCTAAAAGAATATTATCCTTTAGTATATTTAAAATACTAAATTAAATATTATAAGTATTTTTATTAATAATTAGTAGAAGATAATTAGTTTTATATTTAATAAATCCTTCTTTTACTTTTACTTTTATAATACTTATAATTTATAGCGCTTATTTCTTTTTTTAAATAAGAATTTATAGTTTTTTAATTAGTTAAAGTAAAATTAAATTATAATCTAATCTGCTGTTAATATAAACAGTAATAATATATTTTCTAAATTATATATTTATTTTAAGTTTCTTTATTTTAGTTATTTTAATTATATTAACTTATACTTTTTCTAAAGTATAGTTTTTTTTTATAATATTATATATAAGTATATTAGTATAAATAACGTTAAGGTTATTATTTTCCTATTATTATACTTACTATTATTAAATTTTCTAATACTATTAATATTTATTAATATTAATTTTATTAATATAATATTTATAAAAGTATATAATATCCCTTTAATAAATATAACCTTTAGTATAGGTTTTAAAGTTATATTTATTATAATATAACTATTATTAAAGTTATTAATAATCTTCCTTTACCTATTTATATTTTTTATAATCTCTATTATAGTATTATAAAAAGTTAAGCTTAGGATATTCTTTCCTTTAATTATACTATTCCTTAACCTTATAGTTAAAGTAATCTCTATATTATTAACTAATATAATTTTCTAAATTAGATTTAGTATAATCTTTATTATATATATTATTTAGTTAAATTTAATAATATTAATTATATAGCTTATTTTCTTAGTATATAATATACTATAATTTATTATACTACTTTATATTTAATTATTTATAGTTTTCTATAAATGTATATATAAGCTATGTTTCTTCCTATTTAAAAAACTAGTCTTTAATTATAATAGGGTAGTAGGGGTTTATACTAGCGTATTCCGCTAACTTATTATTACTTAGCGTTTATTACTAAGTAATTTTATATTATTTAAGTATTTATTAAAACTTACTTAAGTTATATATTTTTATTTTTTTTAAATTATAGTTAAAGAGTTTTTATCCGCAGGGGTAATTAAGTCCCTAGGGTTCTTAAGATCTATAGTTTTTATATAGTTCTATAATATTAAGGTTAGTATAACCTATCTTCTATCTAGGTTTTTCCCTTTATTTATAAATAAAAGTATTTACTTATTCCCTTTCTTCTTCTATAAGTAAAATATTAAGGGCTTTATTTTATACTTTTTTATATTTATCCTAAACTATATTAGTATTTCCTAAGGTAATAATAACTATAAGTATATTATTAATAGCTTAGTTAATTATTTATTAACTAACTTCTTTAAAAATTATAGTATTAACTATAATATATTTTAGCTACTTTTTCTTAAGTACTTTAGGATATTAGTTTAATATTTCCTTTTTTTTTATATATAAGGTATTACTTATTATAATACCTAGGTACTATTAATAAAGTAATAAATATAAGTACTTAAAGAATTTAATATAAAAGTAAAGTAAATAAATTAAGGTTTTTTATCTTAAATTCTTTATACTAATTTATATATAGAAGTTAGAGTATAGGTTAAAGTAAAGTATAGGTTAAAGTATAGGTTAAAGTATAGGTTAAAGTATAAAATAAAGTAGTACTTAAATATAAAAGGAATTAGTAAAATAAATAACTTATACTAATTTATTATTTAAAGTAATTAAAAATAAAAAATTTTATTTAAGTAAATAAAATTTATAATTTAGTAGTTTACCTAAAGTATAAATATATAATAATACTAAGTAATAAAGTAATTAACTACTTACGAAATAAGTATAAAATTTTAGGTATTATTTTATAAAATATTAAAAACTACTTAGCTTTAGGATTAGTAAATAATTTAAAAACTATTAAAGTACTTAATAATAGTAAACTGCATTAATTAATAATTTTAGTTAAAAATAGGTTTAAGTATAAAGTATACTTATTTATTATAATATCTAAGAAAATAGCTAATATTTATTAAAAAAGTATAGTATATAATTTAAATAACTACTATTATATAAAAGTCTACGTATAGTTATAAATAAATAAAAAATATATAAAATATTAAATAGTAGGTAGTATAAGGTATAACTTAATTATTAATATTAATATATAGGATAAAGTAGGTAATATAAGAAGTTTAAATATATTAAAGTAAATTTTATAAATAAAAGTAAAGTAACTAAAAAAGTTTAATAAGTAGTAGATATAAGCTCAATAGGCTTAATAAAGCGTAGACTATAATAATAAATTTATTAAAGATATATATTAGGTAGAATTTACTAAAGGAAAGGATTATACTACTATTATAGTAGCTGTAAGGTAGGCTAAGTTTAAGGTAATTAATAAATCTATAGAAAAGGTATAAGGATAAAACGCTAAGTAAATAGTATAGCTTATAATACTATATAAAAGTATTAAATATAAAGTTAAGTAATATAAATTATATATATATACTATTCCTAAGTTTATTTAATAATAGCTATATAAAATTAAAAAAGGAAAAAGTAACTTAATATTATTTAAGATAAGTAATAATCCTAATATACTATATAAATATAGTATTATATATTAAAAATATTTCTGCTTTTACTAGTAAGTATATAAGCTTAAAAAGGAAAAAGTAAGTAATATACTTAGGATATAATTTATAAATAAGTAGTAGGGTTTACTATATAATATAAATTATATTTTAAAAGAAATAAACTAAAGTAGATTTAATAATAGTAAAAGTTTAAATAAATATAATAGTAATATAAATAACTATAAGTAAGGTATATATAATTAACTATTTAATAATACTATATAATTATATAATAATAATAATAAATTAAATAAGATTATAGGCTATAAACCTATCTCTAACGTTAGGTTAGGGTTACTGTAAAAATAAAAAAACTACCTAAAGCTCTTCCCCTGGGGGAAGTAAGTAGTTAGCTATTTTACAAAAGCTAGCTAGACCTCTTCCCCTAGGGGAAGTACTCTGTTAGCTATTTTATAAAAGCTAGCTAAACCTCTTCCCCTGGGGGAAGCAGCTAGTT